TTAGCACGACACATGCCTAAGGACGTATAAATATGAATATTTCATTTTGGGTCCAACTCAATCAGAATTAGGACTCTTTTCTTTGATAGGGACTGAGCTTCATCCTCTTCATATCTTTTCTTTGATATGGAGGAGCTGAGGACTGAGCTTTTGCTTAGGCTTGGAGAACGGGCCCAGAATGAATACAAAAGTTAGTGATTGGGCAAAAGGTTGTAGAAAGGAGGTAGGCCCAAAAGGATTACAGAATCACATGTAGATTCTCATCTTACTAAATTGGGTATCTCTTTAATTTTATACTCAAAGAGCCCAAACCAGCTTAGAATTTTGATTACCAGAATTCATCCCAAGCCCATTTAACAAATTGAGCCTTTGGACCAAATCCCCGTTCCAAACCCAATTAACATTAGCCAGAGGCTGGTGGTGTTCAATTTCAGAAAGAAAATAGAGAAGCTTCCAGTTGATATCATACCACTGCCATGGCCCCTGGTTGATGGGAAAAGGAAATGGATGAAAGATGTTTCTCTTTCCAATGTACAACATACAATATAAAAACCAAAGCACAAAGATGTACAATATTTCTTTAACGATAGTTTTTTTTTTTGAGCAAGTATAAATTTGGGTAGAGAAATTTGAATATAATACTTAAGATTAGGGGTGTATCTTTTATAAAGATTTATAATTAATTGACTTTTTAAGTTAAATATTTGTTTCTACAATATAATGTAAAATGAGTTTTTTTATTTAAAAATTATGCATGAGTTGATGTACATTTATTTATTGAATTAATACCACCTCATGTTGTGTATGCAATGCACTTCAACAAACTCGGCGTTTAGATGATTAAGCCTGCTACCTTCTCAATTTATTTATAGTAGTATAGACATCCACATATAAGAAAAGGAACTCGAACCATTGTTCTTGCCAAATGAAGGAAAAAAATGCGTAGATAAGGACTTTTTTTTTTTTTTTTTACTTAAAATACAAAATTTTCAAGTTTTTACTTTGGATGGTAAATTTTTATTTTCAAAATAATGATATGAATTTTGTGGTTTTTTTATTTAAAAATTTATTAGATGAAAATAATGATATGCTAAATAGTTTTTTTAATAAAAAAATCGTATTTTTAAAGTAAAAATGTAAAAATTTATTGCCTAATTCAAAATTTTAGAAAGTTTATATTTTTTAATACAAAAATGACTATATCCATACATTATCTAAACTTTTTCTCTCATATGAAGCTCAAAAAAAAAAAAAAATCTTTTAAAAAATTGAACTGATGTTACGTATCATTTCATTGAGACACCATTCTTAATTGTTGAACCGAATCATTTATTCCATTATTATTAAGAGGAGTTGAATCACACACGGTTGTTAGGTTCAATTATTTGTTTCGATGGAAAGTTAGTTCTAAATAAAATATTAATCCATCTCTTTATATTAAAAAAAATGTTGTGATTTTTTTGGTAATAAAAATTTATTGTAGATTTTACAATATTCATATGATATCAAACAAACAAATATATATTGTATTTGTGCATCTCATCTCAAATTAAAAGAGTTAATAAAAATTACACAAAATCATACTGTAATATTTCATTATCGAGAAATTATTTTTCAAAAAAATGTTAATTAGTATCTTGGATTAAATCAAATCAATTAGGGTGATTTTAACAAAAAAAAAATCAATTAAGGTGTCACAGGCACCATATAAAAAGATTGAATAAGGTACAAACACCACCATATAACAATAGAAAGGATAATTAAGATACCATTTGTGCTAATGCAATCTATTTCTTTGACTTTTTCTTTTAGGTAAATGGTAAATTGGTAAGCTTTTCATTCCAATCTGAAAAAAAACAAAAGAAGAAGTAATTCTTTGACTTTTTTTATAGGATCGATTCAAGGGCTGTTTGGCAGGGTTAATTTTGGGACTTAAAAGCATTTTTTGTTTTGGAGCTTAATTAAGTTTGAAAAAAATTTTGATTCTTCCCAACAAAAGTACTTAAAAGCAGCGACATGGGTCATGCTTTTAGCAGAATCGCACTTTAATATATTTACTAAAAAATTACTATATTTCACCCCAAAAAAAAAAAAAAATTGCCCTCTATTCTCTAAAAAATTTTCAAAATCAAGAAACATAGAAGTACTAATAATCAAGTCTCAAAATAAGCCCCTACCCCTACCACACAGCCCTTTACTCTTTTAAAGTGTATTTTTAAAATCCTACCTAAGATTCCATCTCCATTAAAAAAAATTTAAAACTTTAAATTAAAAATCTCAACATTAATGAGTTAGATATGTAGGAGGTGATTATGGATCTTATAGGGTAGTAATTTTGTGGTTTAAATTTTATTTTGGAATTTTCAAATTCTATGAGGCTTTGTTGAGGTTGATTCTGGAAGACTTGGATTCATAGGCCTTGTTTATGCACGTTTGCGTAATTGATTTGTAAGTTAAAGATTGTAATGAGTTTGAAAACCCCTGGAACCAAAGAAGAACTTTTTTTTTTTTTTGTTAACAAATAAAAAGAAAAAATCTCAACATTAAATCTGGAGATTGGAAGGTAAGATTTTGAAAATTGAATGATTATTTTTTATTGTATAAGCAATTATAATATGCATAGCAAAAACAAATGATTAAAATCTAAAGAATAAATCAAAATTTTATAAGAAAAGTTAAAGAGTGGTTGGTGCGGCTTGAATAATTAAAATCTAAAAAATAAATCAAAATTCTATAAGAAAAGCTAAAGAGCGGTTGGTGTGGCTTGAACATGCTATATATATATACCGCCAGGTGCTTCCCAGAAAACTACTTTTAGATGAAGAATACCTGTATCCACAAACCCTAACTTGTATGTATTTTACTTACTTCGATGATATAATTACAAAATTATATAAAATTATAAATTTACAAGTTTATAATTAATTTTGATGTATTATTAAATAATAAAACATATAAAATATTATAAATAAGTCTATAAATAAAAAGAGTCAATCATATAATAACATATTAAAATTATATAACTAAATATTTTTATTTTAGTTATATATCAAAGCACCAAACTAATAAAGGAAACTTTCCCAACAGAGACAAAAAGGACCCGAACTTAAAATAATTATTAATAAAAGGTTGCTAGGTTGATAGCTTTCTTAAACTTATAAGGAGGCCTATACATCCCAAAGGCCATTTCGCTACCCATAAATATATAGTAGAGGTTTAATTATTTAGTATTATAAAAGTTTGAATTTTTTATTTTAATCATAAATTAAAATTTTTAACTTAATGAATTTATTTTCTACCTTATTAATTAAGATTCAATTCTTTAAAAAAATTAATGAGAATGTAATTTCTCATAAATTTTTTAAACTAAAGTTCATACGATGAGGTAATCTAAACTGCAAACATTTATCATACAAAGAAAAAAATACCCTTCCTCATTCCTCAAATCCCCACCCACCAAACAGCTGTACTTTAATTGAAGCATTAGGCATGCACATGCAAGCAAGGTAGTTGACCATGCTACCACCACAATCGATCCTTTAAATGAATTACTTTATCACTGATTCTGACTAGCTAGTATTAATTTTACTTACATAAGCTAGAGAAATTCCGCAATAGAGACACAAAGGCAAAGAAAATAAAAAGGACAAGAACATAAATTAATTAATTATTAATAAAAATTACTAGCTTGATTAAACTTCTAAGGAGGGACTGCATTCCAAATTAAGGCCGTTTTCACTAATTAACAATGAAAACAAAAAGGTTAAACACCCTTTTGGTTCCCTCTATTATAGGAAAAAGCTCTTTTTTAGTCCATGTACTGAAAAAATTTCTTTTTTGATCCTTACAATTTAAAATCTGACCATTTTTTAGTCACTTCGTTAAGTTTTTGTTGATGTGGTATGTTAATTAACAGAAAAACCTATTTTTTTCTTTATTTTAAATATGTGGAAAATCCACCTAATACAAGTTGATGACATGGCTAAATTTTTTGTCTAATTTAACCTAGAAAATAATTTAATTACATAATTGCCATTATAAATATTTTAAAGATTATTTTGTGATTAAAAATACTTAACTTTAATTACTTATTTGCCCACATCCTCTTCCCCTTTCTGTCTTATGCCCCTAGGTTCGTCATGAACCCAGACGCTAGGTTCGTCACGATGATCCAATTCTTTGAATGATAAAATCAATAACCAAAATTCAAACACGAAATCAAAACATTTCATACTTAGAATTAGTAAATGCAAGCTAAAAACTAATATAAAAAGCAAGATACACAACAAAAGAGATCCGAATCTCTAGCTACAATACTCGAAATCGTTCTTAGGAACAATCTAATTATCAAATGAAATTCAAAAGCTAAATCGACATCATTCATGTTCAGAAACAGTGAAAATGAAAAATGGAATATGAAATACAAAGTCTTAGCATCCAAACAGAATTAGTAGAT